GATTCTATGATTCTATGATCATTAGCCAGATCAGGTGTGGATCTGTCCAGCAGTGGAATAACCACAGCAGAAGCAGCAGACAAACCCAACAGCAGTGCATGGGATCAGCCCCTTTGGTGGCCATACAGACCCACAAAACTAAATTGCGTGCTACATTTCACAGCACATTTCCTAACTTTAAGCAAAATAAACATCTTCCAACCCACATGTTCTGCACAGATTACTGATCCAACAGTTTTCTGGTATAGAAACTGAGTTGTACGATTGCCAGTTTTCAAGGAGACACTTCACAGAGGAAGGCACTTACCCTCATCATGATTTCTCTTTCTATAATGCTGTCCTCGATTGAAAACATTTCCGACACAGGCCTTTCCTTGACAGGTTCTTTCTTGACCCGCTCCTTCACACTCGTGAGGTCAGGCTCTGAGATAGAGGGCCCGAGGGAAGACCCGTTTATTGCCATTTGATCAGTTCGAGAGACACTGATGGCTTTGGAAGGCCCTGGCCTCATGGCCTTGGCCCTGGCTACGGCCACAGAAATGCTAACGTGGTCCTGCCTCAGGGCTCCATTGCTGACGCTTTTACGAGGCCCAGGGTACTCTGGAGGAGGTTTATTTGGTATTCTAGCCAAGGCAGCTTGCAGCTGGGCGCTGTATTCCATGTCCTCATGGAGGGCTGTTATCCCTGACACAGATTCTGGGGTGTCCTCTTCCTCTTCACTTTCACTGCTGTGTATCAGCATCGTGGCATCAGAGAATGTCTTTTTATGATGATAATGAGGAACCTGCTGAATTTCGTGCCCCATCTGAACCGACTCTTCTGGCTGCACCTGCTCCCGCAGAGTGTTCCTGCGGGGCAGAGGGGCGTTCAGAGTTTTTAACGCCATGGCTTCTATGCCACGTACCATGTTGCTGATCACCTCCAAGCTGTGGCGCTTGTTCACAGCTGCGTGGTGCTTCACGGCCAGGAGGGGCTCGCTGACCTCCTGCAGGGACTGACGGACGACCGGCGAGCTGTCCTCCTGGAAGGTCTTCACCGAGAGCTGGACTTTGCGCGTGACCAGGTCGGGGCTGCTGCCGCTGACGTACCTGTGCCGGTGGCTGGCCAGGTCCGGCGTGCTCGTGGCGGGACGCGGGCGCGGGTAGGGAGGCGGGGGCCTGAAGAGATAGTTTTTCAGCATGTGAGTGGTGGTGTAACCCTGGCCGCCCTGCAGCTGCACGTTCGCCAGCTCCGGCGTGCTGACGGTGTGGGATATGGCACTGGCCGCGGCCTTGTTCTGCGTGGCGTTGTTAGGGGTCATCGGGTCAGACGGGGCCACGGGCTTGTTATAGCCGCCACCCTGGGGCCCGTACGCAACGGTGTAAGGATGTCTCTCTCGGATCTCAGGCTGACTGTAAACGAGGTCTTCTGGCTGGTTATAAGCATGTGTGTTTCCGATGTTGAGATTCCTCAAAGACTGACTTTGGCTGTCCATCTGGATCACCCCTCTTTTCATTTGCCTCATGACGGTTTCATAATCCGGAGTCGGGCGGTAAGATGGTACTATGATTGCACTGTGTCTGTGGCTGGGGATGTAGTCTGCTCTCATGATGTCACTGCCAGGGATGCTGAGGTTTGAGGACATTGGAGATGCCTGGATGAAGTTCTGCGAGCGATTGAGGGAGTTCATGCTGTGGGCACTGCATACGCTCCCATTGGGTCCATTACCATTCAAGTAGCTGAAGTCCACTGGACACCTGTCCAAACTGGTCTGAGACCTACAGTAGAAAGTTTCTTCATTTCCATGGAAAATGCTATCTGTGTAGAGCAGAGAGAAAGACGTTGACAATTCTAACATACAAGGACTCATTTTATGTTAACAAAACTACAAATGCAGTCTGCACCAACAAATACAGGGACAGTTTAGTGTACAACAACTGCAAGGAAGATTTGGTCTTGGGAGTACCTTTGAGCCACTGAACTAGAACAAAGCTACTCATGTAACCATTCCAAACAGCAAAATATGGTAGTTCAAATCTTTGTGAAATTCATAAAAGGGGAAAGAGATAAAGTGTTTTTGTCTGGGGTGGCAAGGAAGAATAAAGGGGCATCTCCCCTCTCAGCATCCTGGAAGGATTCATTGCTGCTGCTAGCTTAAAAATCCAGTGCTCCTAGCCTATGATAATCCCAAAAGTTCTTGTGTCTTTTCTGTTGATGTATCTTGGGAGCACCCTTGAGCCACTGAACTAGAACTAAAACAAAGCTACTCACGTAAACATTCCAAACAGCAAAATATGGCAGTTCAAATCTTTGTGAAATTCATAAAAGGGGAAAGAGATAAAGTGTTTTTGTCTGGGGTGGCAAGGAAGAATAAAGGGGCATCTCCCCTCTCAGCATCCTGGAAGGATTCACTGCTGCTGCTAGCTTAAAAATCCACTGCTCCTAGCCTATGATAATCCCAAAAGTTCTTGTGTCTTTTCTGTTGATGTACTGCCATCTATGATTCAAAACAGCAGAGGACTGTGAAATTTGAAATCTTCAGACCAATCAACAGTTTTGAGGATCTGAAGTATAAGACAGCAGGGTGATAAACACTTAGGAAAACAAATATATGAACAAAACAAACAAAAAACAAAGAAAACACCACTCTAGATGTGCTAAAGAATGTTCAACATTTCAGCAAAGGATATTTGAGAGGGAAGCAAGATGGTGTCCTGGATCACAACTTTACTGCAAGGCTGTCCACATGGAAAATCTTATAAGAAAAGACAGCAGGGGGATAAACAATTAGGAAAACAAATATACGAACAAAACAAACAAAAAAACCAAAGAAAATAAAAATAGAAACCCCCACTCTAGATGTGCTAAAGAATATTCAACATTTCAGCAAAGGATATTTGAGAGGGAAGCAAGATGGTGTCCTGGATCACAACTTTACTGCAAGGCTGTCCACATGGAAAATCTTATAAGAAAAGAGTAGCAGCTCCCAAAAGTTTGAAGTCAGCCAGTTCTTTAACAATATAGAGAAGTCTGTGGTAAAACTAAGGGAACTTTACAATTCTTCTAAAACTGAGAGCATCTCCTTTCAGAGCTTCAGCCTCATAGTAAACCTGTCGTAGCCCCTAAGTTAAATCTTTTGCTGTATGCAAGGAAATACACTGAATCACTCCTTCCAAAATTTATCAAATTCCACCTTGAAGTCAGATGACCATGATTCTAAAATACTGTAAGTGTGACTAAGAGGTCCTCTGCCAGTGAGAGGGCTTCAACTGTGCCTCTCATGAGCTGCAAAGAGAGTAGCCTAACAGACCTGGCTACGTGTGTTCCATGAAGTGGTGCAGCTAAAGGTGTGAGACTTGAAGTGTTTAGGGACTGGGCTCCATTCTCAGCTTTCATCAAAGTAACCTGGTACAAGCTCTTAGAGAATTTGTTCATCAAATGCAGGGAGAAAAATAGTTACCCTCCTCACCTCTGTAAAGGCTAACAATGCAGGCAGATGTTGGTGAAAAATCAGCAGAAAATAGTACCTAAATATTCAGTTTCATGACCAGGACACTATGATTTCTCCTGTGGTAAAAGATATTTGCTATCTCCTTTCCCCTCACTCCTTTTCTCCCCCTGGCCCCAGCTGGCACTGCCTTTCAGTACAGCCATCATACTTTCTTTCAAAATCATTTTTTCAGCTCACTGAACTGGAATACCAAGTTTAAGGTCCATATAATCATGCACAGACATTTTAGAGAGATTTGAAAACTGAAATTGGACCTTAAACAAAAGACTTACTGCAACATTAACTATAAAACTGCTACCTCTCCTCCAGCAGCAGCTCCTATTTGACCATGATGGCATCAGAAATCTGCACATAAGGGTTAGGAGCTTCGTTGCATACACATAAAACTTAAGCCCATTAGAAGAAAAATATATGCTTTAAGTACCTTGTGAATTATGTGTTTCAGTGTAGTGTTCTCCACACTGGACATGCATAGGAGGCAGTATAAATGGATGCTGTCTTGGCTGAAATAAAAGCACAAAGGAAAAAAAAAAAAGGCATTAGGAACTTCATTTGCTACAATTTATGCAGCTGAAACAGGAAAAATGGTTCTATGCCCTTTCCACTGAACACTGCTCTTCTCTGCCCAGCCAAAGAGACATGGCTTGGAGTTTCTTTATAAAACAGAGAACAGCATTTTGTAAATTGGCTAAATTTTGTCACAGAGCTCAAAGCTGACCAGTTAAGACTCCTTTAAGCTCAACCACTTCAGAAAACAACATCCAGACTCCCAGCTCACTTAGAACTTTTCAAAAGTTTATTAAAAGTCCATGCCCTTGAAGAATTAAAACACAAAACAAACACCTAATCAGGGCAAAAGCGGGAGATGGAACAAATTCAAGGACCTGGAACACTGTTAAACAAGCAATAGGAGCACATATGGACTTAAAATAACTCTGCAAATTATGTGAATATCAGATTCTCTAGATAATGAATTGGAGCCTTCCTCCAACAATCTGTACTGCCACAATCTTTTTAACACAACAGTATCACAGGGGGCAATTCAGCATTAAATCAGCAGGATCATTTTCTGCAAAATAAATCACAGCTGATGCTGTATTCACCAGCTTTGCCCACTGGTAAACCGATGGGTTTTGCAGTCATATTTTACCACCTGCACAGTAGCATCCTGTCTGGGGTGAGCAGAAAGAGAAGGAAGGCAGCAATGACCTGGATGAAGGGACAGAGTGAACCCTCAGCTAGTCTGCTGATGATATAAAACTGGGAGAAGTGGCTCATAACACCGAAGGCTGTGCTGCCATGCAGCGAGACTTGGACAGGCTGGAGAGCTGGGCAGAGAGGAACCTCATGGAATTCAACAAGGACAAGTGTAGGGTCCTGCACCAAGGCAAGAATAACCCCGTGCACCAGTAGAGGTTAGGGCATGACCTACTGGAAAGCAGCTCCACAGAGAAGGACCTTGGAGTCCTGGTGGACAAAACCATAAGGCTGCAATGTGTCCTTGTGGCCAAGGAGGCCAATGGTCTCCTGGAACGCCTGAAGAAGAGCATGAGCAGCAGGTAGAGGGAGGTTCTACACTCCCTCTACTCTGTCCTGGTGAGGCCACGCCTGGAGTGCTGTGTCCAGTTCTGGGCTCCCCAGTTCAATGGAAACAGGGAACTAACTCATGAGGAAAGTCCATTTAGCCTGGAGAAGAGAAGGCTGAGAGGCAACCTTATCAATGTTTTTAAAAACCTGAAGGTTGGGTGTCAGGAGTATGGGGCCAGTCTCTTTTCAGTGGTGCCCAGCAATAGGACGAGGGGCAACGAGCACTCACTGGAACACAGGAAGTTCCACCTCAACATCAGGAAAAACTTCTTTACTGTGAGTGTGACAGAGCACTGGAACAGGCTGTCCAGAGAGATTGTGGGGTCTCTTTCTCTGGAGACTTTCAAAACCCACCTGGACATGTTCCTGTGCAACCTACCTTAGGTGAACCTGCCCTGGCAGGGTGGCTGGACTAGACAATGTCCAGAGGTCACGTCCAACCCCTACCATTCTGTGATCTGTGACAGCAGAATAAGGCTTTTCATCTAGGCTGATTCTAGTAGTTCAAACCATTATGGAATCCCGTGGATGCCCAAGGCAAAAAAGAAACACCAAACAATTTAACTGTGCACACAAGATGAGCACCACACAGGTTAGTTACTGATGAGGGGGTGGGGGGAAAGTGGTTAAATTTACATTTTCTATGTTAATGGGGAGCAGGAAAAAGAATCAAAGAAACTGAGCACACACATGCATTCTTGCATACAAAATTGCTGTGTTAAGCCAGGACTGGAAGATGACAAGAGATATTTCTGCTACAACATTTGTTTCTAAGGGTATAAAACCCTACTCTCACCAAACAACACGGGCAAAGGAGCGTGCTGCTGACAACTCGAGTAGCAGAGCTTAGTGTGGAACAAAGCAAGATGATGGAAAGCCCAACAAACGAGGGCAGAGGAAAAGTGCAAGGAAAGAAAAATTACTTCCACTGGGAACGTATAGGTGTGGAGCAGACAGTTTTCTTTGGGATAGCTGTTATGGACAGTATCTGAAAAAAATTAGGGTGCTTTTTTTTTTTGGTGAAGGCCCATCTGCCTCTTCTGGCAAAACAGGAGAAGCTTTTGGTCTGCAGAATGTCAATATCCAAATTAAGGATCACTTGCATTTATTGATTTTTTAGAAAATCAGCCAATTAAACATAGGATCATATTAAGATCTCCTGCAGAGGTTTTGCTGGAAAACCAGAATCATTGGTTAGCCTGACAGGAAAAAAAAAACCCAAAACAGCATACAGTGACTTTAAAGTAATAGTTATTAAAATACAAATTCACCATGATGCCAAAAACATATAGAGGGTCTTAATCTGAAAGTAATGAACATGATCCTCAGTGAAGTGGCAGAGCCTCACCCCACAGATTCCACTTCACTTCCCATTTATGCTTGTTGATGTATTACCATACAAGACAAATGAATAGGTAGGTGTATAAAGGTATGTACGGTGCAGACAACAGTCAGAATGGATGGTTTGGGTTTTTTTTTTCCCTTCTCAAAGAGAACTGTTCCAACAAGTTAGCAAAACAATTATGAAAAAAGCAGTTGAAAGTTCAACATGGATGGTTAGCAGCCAAGTTCACTTTTTAATTGATGAGCACACATTCCGACTCCTCATCTCCCTGAGACTTTAGGGTTTTTTTTTTAAAACTTGTTGCATGCTTATGTCTAAAACAAAAAGGCAGAGGGATTTGTTTTTTGTTTGGAAAAAAGCAGATTTTCATTTTTCATATCTAATACAGAAGGCAGGTCCCTCCTTCCCCTTGTGATGTAGCTGAAGCCACAGCATAAGCGTGTCATGCACATGTCTTCTCCCTTAGTTTTTCCTAGTCATTGCCAGGGAGCAAACTAGCAGATACCAAAAATACTGCAAATATGCCTCAGAGAATACATCGTGACACCACAGAAATATGCTTAGGATGAAAGGACAAAGAAATCCAGAGCCAGCTACAACAGCTTGCCTGCCAATGGCTGAGAAACACAGAACACAACTCTTAGATCTAATGGTCCATATGTGCCTACACAGGAAAATAGCCTGGGCTGACATCCACAAAGTTAAAGCTATCCTAATATCAGTACCTGCTTCAGTTTCGTTTTGGAACATTTTCACAAGCTGTACCCATACTGTGGGGATATGTCAAGAAAACACTCCTGCCCCCATTAGCTTTATGCCATGCAGTGACAGGCTAGTGGAGTTTCCACTCCAGGAAGGTCTGCAGAGCAGGTGTTCCAGCACTGGGCTGGCTGGCACACCTCTCCTATGAAGACATGCTGAGAGAATTGGGGCTGGTTCAGCCTGGAGAAAGCTCCAGGGAGACATTATTGCAGCCTTCCAGTATCTGAAGGGGCCTACAAGAAAGCCAGGGAGGGATTTTCTACAAGGGCTTGTAGGGATAGAATGAGGGGTAATGGGTTTCAGCTGAAGAAGAGTAGATTCAGATTAGAAATTAGGAAGAAGTTCTTCAGAGTGAGATTAATGAGACACTGGAAGTTGTGGACACTCCATCACAGGATGTGTTCAGGGTTGGACGGGGCTTTGAGCAACCTGCTCTAGTCAAAGTTGCCCCAGCCCACGGGAAGGGGTTGGAACTAGATGATCATTAAAGTCCCTTCCACCTCAAACCATTCTCTCATTTCATGACAACCTGTGTTACACATGAAAACTGGTCACCTAGACACAGACAAATACTGCTGTCTGCCCACGGAATCCACAGTGGTGTTGGTACTTTCATTTAACAGATTCTGACTTACTGTAAGAAATACTGACATACTAGAAGCTAAAACTGGATCCAAAAAATGTGTCCTTAGAATTGACTAGGAAAAAGACTCCCACAGATTTATTTATTTGTTTTTTAAAGATTTCAGGAAAAAGTTACCCAGTTTTGTCAGATGTATTTATGGAGATTAAACGGGAACAATTTTTTTTTTAAAAAACCCTCTGAATCCCCATCTTGTACTGATGATCATAGGTTTACTTAAAGTCACAGTAACTTCAGAGAGAAAATAGGCTCTTAATCCAAGAAGTTGGTAAATTTTAAGTAGACAATACAAAAACATGAGGAATGGAAGGAACAGAAAATGACAAGCTGTAAAATTATGTAATGACTAGGTTTTGACAAATACACTTCAAATTCTCTCTAGATTATTTTCTCTACATATTGAAATACCATCAATTCAGTAGAAAAGATGCTTCGTTTCTGCAGGGGAAATAAAAATATAATGCCTTGAAGACTGTAATTTTCAATAGTCAGTGGTGATATTATCCAGTTAATCAACCTGGGCAGCCACACCCTTGAGACTCATTCCAGTCATATTGCCTACAAGAAGTGAGTTAATGTGCTTAGTTGAAATTTATAAAATATTCCACCTTACACAAAGCCTCATCCCATTAGGAATGGTACAGACATTCTCAAAGCCCCACTGTGGCACATACCAAGGATGACCTACTCCAGGTGGGTCGGCGGCGGATGGGGGGAGGAGAACTTGATTGTCTGTGGAAGAAAAAATAATGAGAAACACTAGAAACTAGAATATTTACATTCTGAGTCAAGAATGAATGGGAAAAACAAGAGATGAAGAATCTGTAAGTATTGCTTATTAATGAGATTTTAAAAAATATGAACAAACAAAAATAATTCAGGTTCTTCTGTAAATGCAGAAAGTATTCCAGTCCCAAAATATAGATGCCTTCTGTTCATTATCCCATTTGGCTTACTTGGAAACAGAAGAAAGAAAATCTCTGGTTTAACAATGAATTAAACAAGTTTCTTAAGCAATAAAAACTGAACATGGTGCACAGGCAAAGTCTCGGGTGACTTGAGGTGAATATTAAAACAATGACAATTTTATGGAATTCCTAGCAATTCCTCCAAAGCAATGTGCACAGATCAGGAGGGGAAAAAAAACCCAAACAACTGGTTAGCAAATACAAGCAGAGCCACATATAATGTTAGAGTAGCCAGGTGCAGTGGAAGGAACAAGTGTAGGAGGTAAAAAATAAAAAAAAATGAGGAAGGGAAAGAAACAAGTTGATGGAGGCAGAAATATAGTGCTTACGTGAAGAGAGGAAAGGTGGGATTTGTCCTCTGACAGTTTCTGATCTGGTGAATGATGTTATGTGCAATTAGGAGAGGCACACAGGAAAACAAACAACCATCAGTTTAACACAGAGGGCAGGAAAATTATTTGGATAGAAAACACATTGGCATATGCTTTCATCATATCTGTGGCTCTAAGACAGAAGCTGATATCACCTCAGATGGTGGTAAGGAAAGCAGTTCTAATGGCAAAAGTACATTTAAACTCCAGTTATTTCACTCGGTGACCTCATGCCATTTCCTACCTTTATTAGTCAAAATATTTGTAAGTTATATAAGAAGCCACTACATCCACGCAGTTCATGATACCTGCATAATTATGGCTCAGCTTTTAGAAATCAACATGATCAAAACTATTGCTTCTGCACTCTGGGTTGTGAACAGTAACAGAATAGTCCTTTCTTCTGACCCCAGTATAAAGCTTCAAAGGGGAAATATTCTGAGGTGACAGACTACAGTATTTTGTTTTCTTTCTTGATTGTCACAGCAGACAATCATGAACTTCCTTTCAACACAATTGCTCTGAAACCATGAAAATTAAATTTGGTATTGGCCTGCTGAGATGCATTTTAATGCTGCTAAGAAATGTCTCTTCTGGTCTTCCGCTCAACTCCCAAGAACTGTAAGAGCCACCTGAAATCTAACCAACATCTCTCTTCTGTAAGTGCACAGATCCCTCCGTGCAGTTCACCTCACTGGTCTCCCCAATACTCTAATTCACCAGAGCTTAATATAATGTGTGCATACATAATACTAGAAAGCTAGACCTTCCAGTCTTCCCTTCATCATTTTGGCCTTACTGTCCAACAGATGGCATTACCCAGCTGAACAGATGGGATGTCCAGCTCCAACTAGAGCTGTTGATAAAGATGAGGCTTCTTCATATCTTTCCAGCTAACTAAGCTCATAAGTTTTGCAAAGAATTCATATTCTCATTGTTATAAAAACCCAGAACACCATGAAAATTTCTCAGAACGCTAAGCTAAATTTATTTCTAACTAAAATTACTAACAAGTAGACTTCTGACTTCTAACTAAAGCCTCATGAATTCTTCCTTCACTTAGGATGACTCCACCTGCACAAGAGGACTAGCTCAAGGCCAGTTCCTTAGGAAGTGCTCAAAGCAGAGCCTACAGGAGAGTTCTGGTTCAGATTTACAGTCTCTGCTGAGTTGCACAAGTATGGCTACACAGATTCATGTTCCCAGGTGCCCTCCCTTGTTTGGCACACTTAAGATGGGGATAAATTATACTGCCCAAACTAGAAGATGACAACCTCTGTTTTCCACCAACCTTAGCTGCTAGATGTGTAGTGCATCTTCAAAATGCTACTGTAATTCACTTTTTGGCATGTTAACGTGTCATCTTTCACTCCAGGTTACACTAACACTCTGGGTTATGAACAGCAGAGACCAAGGGCTTCAAGACTGTCCAATTTGGCTGCCTGGGGAGCATCAAGCCTCACAAGACTTAGAATGAAATTACATTCTCAATTGTCTGTTCTTGCTGGTGGTTAAAACAAAATAAGGAAAAAACAGAAAGGGGAAAAGAATAATTGACACAAGTGACTAAAAGAAAAAAAACCCAACAAAAAAACCCAAACAAACCCAGACATGCCAAAACTCAGATCAGTTCCAAAGCAGGGCATAGAAAAAAAATCTCTGAAGGAGAAGTACTCACTCTGTGCAGATTTTGTTCTGTTTGTAAAACTTGTGTCTTGCTGCAAACAGCCGTGAAATATATTTGGCATTTTCAAGATCATCCTTTAAGCACAAGAAAAAAAAAAAAGAATATATATAATCTTTCATTTTGTTATTCATATAAAGAAATAACAATGAAGAGTTTAAAGAAATCCTATTGCAGTAATGCTTGGTAAGGTCTGTCATGTACAGAATCTGGCTGCCAAGAACATGTCTGGTGCCCTCAAGAGCATTCAAGGCATTGAATTACTGAAATACAGTGGCATGCCTTTACATGCTGCCACTTCACTGCTAAGTCACAGTAGGAGGGGAGGAGGGACAAAAAAAAAGCAAGCCACAAACCTTGCTGGTCCAATTTCTATACTGGCCTTGGTTCTGGGAGATGTGGAGTGATTTTAAATAGCACAGAACAGCACTACAGCCCTCTGACTTCCAGTATGTACATGCATGGTCACTTATACCCAGTTTCTAAAACTGCTTATGCTGCTGTCTTTATGCCAGAGTGAAAAGTGTGGCACTGGGAATGTTTCACCCAACAAGCACTCCAGTGTTTTGCAGACTTCCCGCAGAGCATACTTTGAGATGCTTAAAAGAGAAGACAAATATTGGTAGCTAAATGGAGATAATTTCACTTGGCATAAAGTAAAATGTGAACTTGGGAGGCAGGGAGACTTCTGGTGAGTGAACCCCTTTGGGAAAGTGGAATTTTTAAGGTTTATTTTTTATATAAGCAGCTTTATTGATGACACTGATTAGATGTTTTTCTTACTGTGTGAAAGAGCACATTCTCTTCTTTGTTGATCAACTCCAGAACAATTGAAGACTTGTTATGTGCTATATTCCCAATGTCATTCCACCTGTAGAGTAAAAAAATGCAGTAGTTTGCCAACACACACATTCAAACATTTCACAAACACATTAAGAATCCCTTAGTCAACATTAGTCTTGTTTTATGTGAAAGCTTTTCAGTAGCTGTTCGGTGAAGAAACATGGTCAGGAAACTAAAGAAGTCATGCTCTGATTAAAGGAGAAACGGATATTCAGCTCTTAACCCAAAGCAGAAATGTTAAAAGCTCTCTTTAAAAACACCCATTTGAAGACTCATAATAGAAGATACACTGAAAATACATTAAAGATAAACATTTTACTGAACTGTGGCATTTTGATTGAGTTTAGCAACATGTATTTGATTTATTATTTTAATAGTGCCATTCCTCTCCAAATGCTATTTCCAACTTTCCTCCAGCACCAGTTCCTCCTAAAGAAGGTGACAAGGTGACATTGACAACAGGGTTATGCAGGCTATGCATACCATGTTAATACTCTGGTTTTATGTTTGCAATCTATTTTTTTTATTTGTTTCCAAGTAATTGTCAGGTTAGCCAAGATCAGAGTTATAATCTTCTTACAAATAGCTGACAGACATTTGCATGCATTGCATGCAATCCACGGGGATGGGAAGGACTTGTTTGTTCTGTTTGCAGCACACATTCCTCTTCATGTCATGGCAGGATACTTGAAGTGTGTATTTCCAAAGAATAAGAATCCAAGCACCAACTATCATTTCTACGTGTAAATAAACTTCTTGCTTTTGTCACCTGGCACAGATTATCTTATTTCATCTCCAAATTAAGTGTGTGAAACATCAGCCATGTGGAAAAGCGAGCCCTACCTCACATTTTTGGAGATGACCACTGAAAGCCCTTTTAAGGCAAAAAAACCCCCCAACAAACTAGCATTCCAGCTTAAGTCTGATACAAGCCTTAGCTACTGAATAAAAATTAGTGCACCTCATAAAACACTTTTTTTTTTGGCTGCACAAGTGTTCATGTTCTACTAACAAGGACCAGTAAAAATATACTACAAGTTAACACCAACAGCAACAAAAATTTCCACCAGAACAGTAGCAAAGAAGGTTCAGTGAAAGCCTAGACCCCTGGAATCATGTTGATTTCCAACAACATTTTCATACAGAACAAAGTTTTAGAAGAAACAAAACTCACAAAAGAAAGTTAATAGAAAGGCTTAAGTGATTCTTAATAACCAAAATAAACATCAGAACAAATAAACAAGTGATACAGCCAGGATTTTCAAAATTATGGAATGAGAAAGTTCAGCTCTTTTTTTGGGTTGTGCACCTAAATATGGCAACCAGATTTTCAGAAACATTGAATGCCTAGGCTGCCAACTGTGAGGTTTCACTGATTTGCATTCAGAAGCATCAAAGAAGCAGACATAAAGGCAAGAAAAGAAAAGGGATCAAAGCCTTGTAAGTAGAACAAGATACATGACAGACAACTACATCTTTCTTGCCATCAAACCCATTCACAGACATCAGAAATTTTTCTTTATTACATCTCTTACAGGCGAAAGGCTAATCCTGAAAACAGTGAGGTGACTACTCCTTAGTTAGAGGATTGGCACTATCAAAGTCACATATGTAAGTAGGGAAAAAACCCTCACAGACGGAGCTCTGAAAAGAAACTTTAAATACAGAAGACCCTAGTTTTTACCTATAAATCATAGTTGTCCTTCCAATTCTGTTTTTTATGAAGATTCCCATGAAGAAAATACCAAGGTGTATGTCATTTCCATGATTATCCTGCAAAGAAAGGACAATGTATTTAGTTTAATAGAGGCCAACACATGCATATGAATATGCAATGAACTACCAAACAGAAGCCCTTCTTCAAGATGAATACAGGACTAACCCTTGACTAACCTACATTTTGCTGCTTGATCACTCAAATTTTCACTGTTTCAAAGCAGTTAGCACTTAACTGGATTAGTTCTGTTGATTAGTAAGAAAAGACAAAGGCTAAACAAGCCCAGGGTTCTCCTCTATCAGACAATGCACACACCACAGACTGGCATTCCTTGCATACTACCCCACATTCCCCATCACTGTGACTACAGCTATCTAAAGCCCATATGACTATGAAAATCAATAGTCCTCATCCACATTATTTCTTCAGTTGCCTGTTAAAACATGTAGAGAGTTCAGAAAACCACACCTGGAGACTGAATCCCTCCCCAAAACTATATCCTACACACTTCCTCCTTCAAGTTCTCCATATAGAAATTCACAGCACATTACCCTAAAAAGTACTTGCACCTCTACAAAGATACATCCCCCATTGTTTTGCAGTTATTGGGTTAAACATTTATCTGCATGCACCAATTCACTCTTCTTGCATTGCTCTTCAGAAGGTTTTGCACCTAACCCATGTCTCCTTGCGGGCTCCTATTCCAGTTCACAATCAGTTTTCTTAAAAATGCTATTTCTTCTTTGCTACAAAAGCTTAATGCTGTTGGTGAAGTGTTTTTTCTACATCTATCAACAAAACCAACTCCCCCTCAGCTGCATATACAGTAATTGATTCACACTTTAAAGTGGTAAATAAAAATCATGTTAACATAGAGCGTGGTTGAAAAGAATTGCTAGAGGAAAGTGTACGAGAGAAGTTAATGCACTATGCATGAGGAAATTCCAGAAATCATCAGGCACTCTTGCATTTTAATAGATCAGATTAGAGTTGCTCCCCTGGCCTTGCTATAGTTGATACCTGGAAGGCAACAACAGAGTATCTACACCTGTTTTTAAGTACTAAATGTCAGGCCTTTTTCAAACAAATGAGGGATGGCACTTTCCAAGCCCCAGCCCGTGCACTGATTGTCTGTGCCACACATACCAGCATTCCACCACACACACTACGAGTCAGCAGAGGTCCTACAGCTGACAGTGTTCCCTTTGGTCTGATTGGAGGACCACACAGTCCTCTGCATTGTCCCAGAGGTAGCATGAGAAGGCAAGGGGATGGGAAAAATGTATTTGTACACATAGAAATACACACGTGTGCACACAAATATCTGTCTAGAAAGAGGAACATATTTCTAATAGCATTTTCTAACAGGAGCCTTTCATTTTTCCCTTTGAATAGAGTTCCAGTTGTGTACAAGGCCAGCAGGCTGCTCTTTGACACAAGGGTAACAGCTTCCTGGAGTTTTGCAGAGCACCCAGTCTACTGTTCATGCTTATCTTACTGACATGCAATAATATCTAATGACAGTTCCAACACAGAAATCCTTTGCAGCAGCATGCATCATTAATCCAAATTAATTTGAGAAAAACATTGATTTAACTCACTGATGATAAATGTTACATAATTTTTGTAGCTGGCTAGGTTTTTTCACCATTCAACTCCTCCTCTTCAGGCCAGTTTTGAGTTTGGCCAAAGGATCAATTTTGACCTTCAGCAAAAAGGTTTTACTGTTTGCTGTGGAATTTTGTTTGGTTGGTTTCAAATTCCAAGTTATCTTTAACTTGCAGAAAAATTGCTAGCAGTCCACCACCTACAGTGACTCAGTTGGTCAGCAAAGAGGAATGGGTCATGTTGATACGATCAGTTTTCAGTCTTGCAGCACAACTTTATCATGGTGGCATGTGTTTCCTAAGGCTAGGTAGACCATCCATGGCAGAAAGGGACTTCTAGAAAAGGGCAAATGACTACAAATGCAAAATAAACCTTGAAACACACACACACACACTCAGTTTTAACTGTGTAGAGGATCTGTGTGCACATGTAAGAAACTAAGGAAAGCTAAAATTAATGCTTGGTAAATAGCAACTTAGCAAGATGTCAAAAGGTCTCATTTTTGTATCCTGTTAAAGAAGACCAGAGCTGATGTTCATTGGCCTCAGCCACTCTCCCTCAGACAGCACTCAAGGAGAAGCATGGAGCATCTCTGCTTCCCAAGTGAGCAGGCCCTAGCACAGAACAACCACTTTCTGTGAAAAGGATTTTGGTGAAAGAGAAGTCACACTGCAGCCTAAGATACCCTCACAGTGCAATATTCAGTCAAACTACCATTTTATAGTCATTTTACAGTCCAGAACAGTGAAAGAAGTCCTGTGTCTTCTGGACAAACACAACTTGCATGCTTTGCAAAGGTCGCTGCTGGCTCCAGCATCATTTGATTCAGGGGTTCCTTTCTCATGTCCACAAACATACCTTCACAGGGAAAGTCTCCTGTCCAAACCCATCCAGGCGTTCCACTTCACTGATGTACATTAGCTCAGCCTCTGCTGCTGTAATGCCACTGCAACCAGGAGTAACAAAAGGCAGCAAATGGTTCAGTATTATACAGACACAAAAAATACTAGTGAAAAATGGGAGATTCACAAACCACTTTAGAATGAATACACTCTGGACACTCTGCCTAGAAATGCACAGCACAAAACTAACTTCCAACAATAGGATCATAATCAGCAAGGGGTGGAATTTTACTAAATGTTGTTAAGGTAAGGTACAAATGATAGCTCAAATAACAGGAAGAACACACTGAACTGATGCTATTACTCAGTTTCTTCTGCACACATCAAATGCTTTCCAGGCTGTATTAAAACATCAGGCCATCACATCAGGTTGTGCCTAGTTTTGGATGGCAAACTTGGGCCATATGGGTCTTAATTTGCATAAATAGTATACAAATCCACTGAAGTTTCTTAAAATTACTTAAAAGGGAAAGATCTAAATTTTCAATTTGGCTGCTGAAAAATACAGGTGCTAAATCCATATGTTAAACAGATTCTCTTTCATAATAGAGAACAAACCAGCTGAAAAATTTTACACACATGCCTACACATGCTCCTGTCACAGTTCAGGAATTCAGGCAGATTTCAGTTCTCAAAAGCAGGTCAGAATGGATTGCAGGTTGCTCCAAAGGAAGGCCATTATTAGTGTTTCTCCTCTTTGCTCCTCCTTACCACAGCTTACAAACAGAAAATATAGGAACCAGACAAATACTTGGCAGAAAGGGGTGGAATGTGATCTACCTGCAGAAGTGAGGATAAGTATTTGTTCTTTGTGTTGCAAAAATAGCACTGAAGAGCACGGCAGGGGAGGGAAACCCTTCCTTTCAAGTCTGTGAGTTAACCAAGATCACACAAGCAGCTTGTGGCAGGCAACACAACCAGGACTGCTCACGGCCAGCTTGGAAGCCAACCCTTGGTTGCATCAAAGGTCAAAGCTTGCATTGAAACACAGACTGAGGATGACCCTAGACACAGAGATTGGTATTTGTCCCTTTTACAACCATTTTCTGTCATATAATGGGAAGTGCTGCACCCTTCATACAGTATTCCAACTGAATTTCATTTAATAAAGCTTTAAATGCAAATTTGCAATATGACAAAAAAGATTATTTCCAAGGACACACGGTGCTGCCGTTTTCCTAAGCACAGCACCCTGGGGGTTTGAATACTTCCACCACCAAAACATCTAGACAACACTAAAGAAGTCTGCTTACAAAGAAAGGATTTGTACTGAAGCCCTTCAAGGTGCACTCCTAGCTCATTAACTAGTAACACCACATTGTATCTTTTCCACAATGATACTTTAAAAATCTAACTCCTGTTATTTTCATTTCTATTACATCGAGAATGCCCTCCTCCCTCTCTCCTGAATGAGGGAAACCCCTCAGACCACAAGTCACAGGGTCTTTCACCATTTTTTTTATTTGGGATTAAGTTCCTTGGCAACTCTGTGTTCACAAGAGGCAGATAATATTTTGTAACAGACTAATAAAAATCCAGCAAGACATAGCATAACAGTAACATTAGTATAAGCTACTTTACCCCTGCCAGAAAAGCATGGGGAGGAAGGGAAGTACTAGGAGGAGGATGACAATTAAAAAATAATATAAATTAAATAATGAACCTTGACATGTGAAGCTCACCTGTGAGTTCGGTGCTCCTGAGCAACCTTTTGAGTCAGCTCCTCCAAGACAGCTTCATCCTGGGTCCAGTCCTGTAAGAATACGAAGTAGTATTGAAAACTAGTCATCCAAAGAGAGAAACGACAAAATGCAGGACAGGAATTATGACAGCAGCTGTTTCAGGATTGTTTCTTGTTGACTCTCTTCCAGGTAGTTACAGAGAGATAACCTATCACCAAATGCATTGAAAATTTAGAGCACAGCTGAAAATATGCAAGAACAGAAGTGTCTGATTTTTTTAAATATCATTTTTGGGGAAGGGTAAAAAGACACTGTTAAAAATAGGGTTATTCCAAAATGGAAAACAGAACATGGACAAGGGATCTTTTCCTGGATAAGGACCAAACAAGTCTTTAAAAACACTTGGAAGTCTACAAATTAACACATAACTTTTAAAACAGCCTAAAATAATGCACAGATCCTGGAAAATGAAGTCACGGGTATTTTCTGTCCTGCAACCTACAGGTACTCCCTCATGTTAAAAGAGATTGAACCTTCTTCAATCTCTTTTGAAGTTCTACCCCTTCAAACATGCAATTCAAAGTCCTATATGCCTGCACACATTTCTAGAGCACAAATTTATCTTCTGCAAATTTAATAATGTGTGGTAGAAACAGTTCTGAAATAATTGGGAGCAAGTTAATAAAGGAATTCTGCTCATAAATTCAAGGAAAAAAAAAAAGGAAGCTGAAAATCTTCTTGCAAAACCTCAAAGTTCTTATTTTTATTTTAAAAACCCTGAAGGCTGCATGTAATGTACTTAAACACACTGCCTGTTTCTTGCTCAATGGGGCCCTCCCTCTGATATTTGCTTCTGCCACAAAAAAATGTGAAAGTGGTAGCGTGGTAATGAAAAATGGCATGGTACATGCCTCTGCACAGCCACACACCTGTGGGGTGTACTGTGTACATAACTTTGTTCTTTTCACTGCTGAAGAAATGCCATTTGACACACATTGTAGCCTCACAAGATCAAACAGTCCCAGTGTAGCTGCCCCTCCCTCATCCACCAGCTCACCTCACTAATAAATTTATAGCAACATTCCGTTGGAGGTTCTTTCTATGCCAGAGACACACTGCAATCCTCCCACTTGCTTCAGGACTAGTTTATATCTGCAGCACTTAGCAACTGTCACTGAACTTGTAGTGAAATATTTACTATTACCTTAGCTACTCCTCCCCAAAGAAGCAAAGACAAGTATTTAAAGAAATGACTAGAGAAACAGTTGGTTTAAGAGCAGGCTTCTGAAGACTGTAGGAAGCAGACACTTTGCTGATCTTGTTAAACTTAGCAATTGCAGCATGAATGAAAGGCAAGACACCACAAAGTGAGCACATGCAAAACAGAAGAGAGACAACCAAAACACCAGTAGGCAGATGATTCAAAAATGGAGGCTCTAGGTGATGTGCACAAAGAGTAAACTGCAAACCACATGGAAATTAACCACTTGAAAGCTCATCTAGAAGCCTGAACCCACCCCTAATTTTCTTCTGAATAGAGGAATATCATCAGAGTATTGAAAGAATTTCACAGAAGGTCACTGGTTTACAAAGTGACAGCTTGACAATAAGTGTGTCTATATTTGCAGCCAGTTTTCCCACTTAGGCTACTGTACATGACTTCATAAACCATCAACTATAGCCAAGACCATCAGCTCATCTAGAAGCCTGAACCCACCCCTAATTTTCTTCTGAATAGAGGAATATCATCAGAGTATTGAAAGAATTTCACAGAAGGTCACTGGTTTACAAAGTGACAGCTTGACAATAAGTGTGTCTATATTTGCAGCCAGTTTTCCCACTTAGGCTACTGTACATGACTTCATAAACCATCAACTATAGCCAAGACCATCAATTCCTTAACAACAGATAAAGGCAACCTACCAAAGAAATCCTGCTCCACCAGGCAGGTGAAGAGAAGTTTCTTAGTAAAAGGTCAACACCAAAGCTATGCTCTAGCTATACAAGGCATATTCAGTTCTCTGTACATTCATGAATTCCCCTTTTTCCTACTGACTTTTTTTTTTCAGGTGGTATTGAACTCTTGTCTACCAACTCAAAACTGCACTTGTCACTTCCAGACAGCTATCACCTGTCAGTTTTCTGGACTTGAGAACAAACTATCTACTGTAGTTCCTGTCCAAAGAGTGCTGGTAACTGCGATGAAATGCTCCTGGAAGTGCCTTTCTCAAGACTTCAGATTACAGTGAGATGAATCATTCTCCTTCTACCACTCCACTAATTGCAGAGGGAAACCAGATGCCTTAACTTCTAGGCAGCTGCACTTAGGGTATGGGAACTCCACCCCACTTCCAAATTTTTTTTCCAGTTCAAGAATTCCATGATCTTTTACATTTTATGAATCTTACACTCAGGTCTCAGGCTGGTGGACTTGTTCATCTAGGATAATGCAAGCCCTAACCTCAGCAGGCTTCCCCCTCTCCCCCCAATACATTCTCCCAGAGAGGCTCAATGTCATGGATTGCAAGGGCTTAGTATTTGTCACCAGTTTCTAACATCATTAGTGACCTAAGCATTCCCCTCAGCATTTGAGTTATTGGCTAGTTTTCAACATAAATTGAAAACAAATTTACAGGACAGCTCCTAGAGAACATTTTGAGAAGACCTGATTCATGCTTAATTTCTAATACTCAGTTGATGTAAATTCACATTCTTTTTGAGGAAAGATGTGTCCTGCACGATGTGTCCTGTGCCACATTTGCTACATCATGCAGCCCTCATATCCCCTTGCTGTGTCCTATTACTCATACTACAGTACTGTTAATATTCACCTTTTTAAGAAGCTGCAAATTCTTTTCTGATGCAAAGTAGTAAATTTCTTTTGTTGACACCTATTTCTAGTGGAGGTTTAACACAAACTGGAAAAAGGCTGAATTTCCATATTCCTTCAGAAACAAGTATCCTGCAGGGTTTAAGGAGCAAAGTTTATTTCCACTATTAATAGTTCAGGGCTGGTGCTGTCAGTCTGTTATCAACAAGGCCATCTCTGAGGCATGGAGAAATTATTCATAGAAGACCACAAAAGAGGTGGATAAGGAACTCACCATAGGAAACAAGACATACTCTCGGAGGAAGTCATGAGATTCAAACTGATTATAGTCTCCAAAGTCAGCTGGAAAAAACAACACAATTACTCATTTTAGCACTTTACACACACGTTTAGACCACATTCAACCTTTGCACAGATGCTTAATTTCAAGTGGGTGAGTCCTCTCTCAAGCCACAACCCAGCACAAACATTTCTGCTTGTACTGTAGCTTTTAACATGGAGGTCTGAAAATAACAGTGTTATTACCAGAGATTAAATAATAGCCAACAAATAATTTCTCTCTTTTGATCCCTGATACCATGACCATTTGCAAGACTTAACCAGTAGGAGTGCAAGAGTTTCTTTTTCTGTGGCCTTCATGAACAAATACCACCATCTAACAAGGCTGAGATTGCTCAGTCTCCTTTAAAAATGATGCACACTTTTGCTTCTCCAACACTTCCAACCCTGTCCAGGAAAAAACAAACAAAACACAGGGGAAAAAAAAAAATTAACCTACCTCTGCCACAATTCTACACAACTGTAGAGACGATGCATAATTTTACAGCTTTGGAAGTTAAAATCCACCAGCTGATTCTATTAGAAACTCTCAACAACCAACAAAGTTTGAGGTGGAGGGAGAGGTCTTATCCTTCTCCAGCCCACAGAACAGTACAGGCACTGTGCCAGTTTAACTGACTGCTCCAAACCTTTCTCCTTGCTTTTCTACTGCTCCTAAATGTCTTTAAGAAAAGTCCTTATCTCCATGCTCACATTCACTGATATGTCACGCTGAGGATTCTTTTCTAAATGTCCTTGAAATCATGCTGTTTTGAAAATGCTTCCTAAAGCCTAAACTACATTGAAAAAACAAACAAACAAACAAACAAAACAAACCCAAAGCCTATATTTATCTGTTAAATACATAACAGCTTATATCAAAGGAATATCTTGCCAGGAGGTTTTTTCATATTAATTGAACTGGATCAAAAGCCATCTACAAGATTCTCATATTATAGGAGTTGGAAATCCCCACCATAAATCATATTATCTAAACATTCTTTCAAAGCTTCTAGACAATTTCACATATTGCACGATGCCAAAAATGCAGTTTCATTTTGTTTTCACCTCAGAGTTATGTTTTAACATAAACAGAAAGAAATCAGAATGGACATGAAACAGAGTCTAAGTTTAAAAGAAATAACTATTTCAGATATCTTCAGTTGCATCACACAAAAAGGACAAAGGGAGTAATACAAGGTCAGGCATAAAGCAAACAAGACTAGGTGCAGCATTCTGATGGAATGGTCTTTGAAATATAACAGATCATGTAGAAAATTCAAAATAAAAGTGATTACTTCAACTGTTTACAAAGACTGACTCGCTCCCAGAACTAGCAAAAGCTCCAAAACCACAGGACTAGTGAAATACATTCAGTGTCTGCTTAGACCTAACTTACACACTCAAAAAAACTTCATTTACTTCAATTGCAAGATTTAGTATGGAATCTTGTACATATCTTTTCCTTCATCAATAAAACATCTCAAGATTTGAACAGGAAACTTTTCTTCAATTTTTAACCACAAAATAAGATACTAAACCATAATTTCTATGGTCCTAACAAAGAGCCTATTAGCCTTATTCTCCATTGAACCTCTAATTTTCAAGAATCAGACCTTCATGCTTGCTATTTATGTATGTCCTTTCCCCACCCCTCACATCAGAGGACGTGCCCAGAGCATCAGTGCTGAAACTCTGAGGTTCTCACAGTCAGTCATGGATAGACTGAAACATACTTTCTCCAAACACAAGGCTTTTTCCTCTGCCCACATACATTATATGATCCCATTTCTGTTGACGTCCCTAGGAAGCTCAGAATAAAAATGACACTGTAAGATGTAGTTTGTTATTAATTTATAACTCACAAAATTATGATCATGTGTGCTTTCATACTTCAGATAGCACTGTACAGCAAAACGAGTTTTTAATTAAGGGTAAAATTAAAGCTGCTGCTATGCTCTTTGATGTAACTGCATTTCAAACCAGAGAACATGAAGCAAATTCATTACTGCAAAGTACTGCGTGGTCAGGTTTGGAAGATTTGGAGTTTGGTTCAGATTCACTTACATGGATTTTAGAAATAGGGAAGACAAACACTGTGATGTGGTCCATCATTCCCTCCTCCCTGAGGGTGTGACTGTTTCATCAACGGGAGTCCACCTATGCACTTGCAAATCAATAGAAAACTCAGCTGTTGTGAGTAGGAGTCACACAAGGCCTCAGTTAGTGCCCAGTCAACATGCAGAAGCTGTAGAAGGGCTACCAGGTCACATCATCTTACCTTGCACTGCCAAACCAGCTAGTCGAATTCCCTGCTCCAATGAAGAAAGTAATCGGCCATCAAGAACATCCTTTTTGACTTGTAGGTAATACTGATATCTACAAGGAAAAGTAAAGAGCACAAATTATAACATCTCTGTGTTTGTACATTTTCCACAGAACAAAAGACTGCTGAAAGCAAGAAACACTCACCACAAACAGGTCAGGCTGTTAAAAAAGGGTCTGTATTTCCCTCTCAGATTTCTTACATCGCTAAAAATAAATCAGTACAATCCCTACATGTGCAGTGCTTCCAGGTGGATGAAAAGGAAAATAACAAGTTCTAATTTGTGTTCCCTAGACCACACTGAAGAGGGACACCTACTGGGATTACCTCCTCCATCAGTTTTGTGGAGGTTACTGAAGACCAGAGGCTGTTCTGTATTTCTTCTACTGTTTTTGCTCCAGTGTCACCATTTTGATAGAAGAAATAGAATTCTAGCAATATACTTTGGCATAACTTTAACTATGTCCCATAGGAAAGTTTTTTAAGTCTCTCATCTCTAAGGACAACTCAGATACACAAATAAAGCAAAACCAGCTTCTAATATCGTGCACTTGCTGATTTGTAGTAACTAATCACAAGACAAACTATGTTAGTTTTAACCACAGCCACAAAACTCACACATTTCACCTTACACTTACAATAGATAAGACAAGGGAGAAGCCTTCCACAAGAAGCTTAACAAGTTACTGCCTTCACCCATTGATGGAGGGACACCCATAGCAGAGCTGGCCAAAGCAGTGGGGATATGTAGCAGTCCCTCCAGTTTATCAGGCAAGAGTCCAGTGGAGACAGCTTTGTTATACGGTTGAGTTGGTGATACAACAATCCACCAGCTTAAACTTTTGGTGGAGACACATGCAGCCCATCCCAGCTGAGACAAAACACAATTCCTCCTCAGCCAACGTGCAACTCCTCATCAGGTCTGAGCCCAAAGGTGGAGGTACTGTACCAGGGTAGCCACAGTCCATGTGTGCACTCATCCTTATGCACCAGCCCCTAGACCTGCTGAGAGGAACTGATATGCCCAAGTGACCCAAGTTAGCAAACCCCAAAACCCAGCAAAGGCATTTCTCAGGCTGTGATCAGACATGCCAGCCTGGCTGCAGCTGAAGCAGGTTATGAGGTTACTGCTCCCCTCAGCTGCATGTCTGCTCCCCCCACAACACAAAGGGCATCCGTCTAAAATTGCATGTATTTAAAAAAGAATTGCTTGAAATAAACTGAGATGGAAAGCAATAGTACATAAGCACAACAGCCAGCCTCAGAGACTGCAGCCTCTGCAAGGTGGACAGCAAAGAGAGGTCATAAAGACTGAGGGTATTAAACTAACTGAAATCATCTGCAACCAGCACACCACATCTGACCCTACCCTTGAACCTCTGGCAATAGCAAAGAAACTGTTCTGGTCTTGTTTCAGATTGCAAGTCACCTTCCCAGTCCCAATAGCAAAGGAGAACCACTGGAACATTACCCATGTTAGAGGGACTGCACTGCCTCAGCCATAATCACAAATACTCAATTTCAGTTAGAAAACACCTACATGCTTCAAAACTAGCAGAGCCCAAGCCATGCTTTGGAGGCTATTCATCCAATGCAGCATTTTACAATTTCCTCAGTTAACTCTTCCATCAGTGGTGTGAGATGAAGTAATGTGCCACTAGACAGCAGCAATGCTCTCACCAGACCAGTACCCTCAATGCAGCAGGATGTTTGGATGCCACATGAGCTGCAGAGCAGCAAAATACTCAGGGAAGCAAGGCCCATGAACATGTTCTGCCCCTGCACACAGCCTAATAAGGATAGAACTTGAGGGAATTTTGAAATTTGATTGAGAAAGGCAGTGTAAAAAGCATACAGCTTCTCAGTTTGAGCCTTGTGCTTCAGCCCCAGGTTTCACACTTGTTAGGTCCAAGAGAGGAATCAGCTTGTTTCCAAACACTAAGTCCCAATTCTGAAAATATAGACACTTTCATACAATCAAGAATGCTCAATCTGGTCTTCAAGACTTGTAATCCCCAAAGCAGGCTATTTATTAATGCTACATACACATGCATGAATTACATATTCTAGTCTACCAGAATAAAAGAAAAATCCACACCTGCCATAAAATTAGAGCCATATTTTTCACACTCGTTAGGTCCAAGAGAGGAATCAGTTTGTTTCCATTTGTTTGCAAACACTAAGTCCCAATCCTGAAAATACAGACACTTTCATACAATCAAGAATGCTCAATCTGGTCTTCAAGACTTGTAATCCCCAAAGCAGGCTATTTATTAATGCTACATACACATGCATGAATTACATATTCTAGTCTATCAGAATAAAAGAAAATTCCACATCTGCCATAAAATTAGAGCCATATTTAGAACAAAGTTGAGAATACAGGAAAGTCAAACCAATGTAAAATCTTACAGTGACATCCTAGCTTCACAGAAGTCAAGAATGCCACCAGTTTTAGTGGAGCCATGATTTCAACCACAGTGCCCACAAAACTACAGACAAACCATAGAAAGGATTATTTAGGTAAGCATCAGCAAAAATATGATGTCAATGCAGTTGCTGTGGTATCAAATATTATGGCCAAGACTTTCAAAAGAACGGGTGATGTGGAATTTCAGTTGCAATTTTAGTTGCCAATACTGCAGAAAAATTGTTTTAAGACAGCAGTCAGCACCCACTTTAAGAGAAGGATGTCCATTTACAGGCGTTTGAGCCTGACTGTCCAAAACAGGTCACAATTCTTAACATCTTAAAAGGAATATTCTACAGCATTATGGTACAGCATTGCATTTAGCAACACTGTAGCAGAATAAAGTTTAGTATTTCTTATATATTGTAGATAGACCTGGAGTAAGAGTTTAGAAGATCTATCTTATTACTGCTCTGACACAAACAAGTGTATCCACCAGGAGAAATCTCATGGAAAAAGTTGTCACCTTTCACAGGCAAACACACTGAAAAGCAGTCCCCTGCAATGGCTCTGACTAGTCACCTTCCTCAATGGAAGTGCCAAGAAAACTAAAGAAGACTGAGGCAGAAGCCTATAGTTTGTACCAGCTTCATCTTCACTCCTGGACTGACAGTGACAAGTGTCACTCATCTGAGCTGTCCCCTGACATCTCCTTTCCTTGTGGCCACACAAGGAATGAACTGGGGCACCTCCTTTCACAAGGCACGAACTGGAGTCACCCATTCCACTGTCAGGGAGGAGGAGGAGCATACCCTGGAGGGAGCTCTGCTAGAAGGCTGTAATAGCTCTACCAGCCACAGACTCATGGCCTGTCTGTGCTGCAAAACTGTGGTCAGGCTCTCTGCCCAGCCAAAGGAGAGGAGAAATTGGCCCATATTCTGTCAAGGATTTGAGGCTACTCCATCTGGAATTACATGAAATGCTGTTATTACGTCACTATGCGAGCTGAGACTGCTCTTTGCTTGCTTTGATTGCAAAAGTAGATCTACAATTTGAGGGAAATCAAACATATTAAAAGTTATTCAGCTACAGATTCATTGAGGAAAGCTGTTCCAGGACAGCAGATGAAAACATGCATTTCATAAGCTTCCTGCATAGTTTAGTTGGGAAAGCATATGGAAGCTGAACAAAAGAGAACTTTGCAGTCTGCACCCCCAAATAATAAATGGCAAGAAATTAAAAAGTAAGACTTGCAAAGCTTTAATCATCCAGCCACTCTGCCATGCTAGGAGACTGCAGGCTAAGAGACACCACAACAGCCAAATGAGCTAAAAGCTGAAATCTCTCACTTTTGTTGCTCATTTTGGGTTAAACATTTTCAGCAGAGCTGTTGTGTATTCAATATAATAAAGGCTACTACACTTTGCCAGCTTGTAGCTAATTCCAAGGGGAATGGGAGTGGACAGCAAGTCTGAACAAAGCCATAATTATAAGGATATCATTTCCCACAACTCTATTTAGCCAACACAGAAAACATTAAAAGTATATTTGCATCTATGGCATCAAAAAGTACACTTTCTATGAAGTAAATAAGCCACAACTGGACAACTGAGACATCTCAAATCCAGAATTAACATCTGCATTTTAGCACTCCCTACTACATCAGAGTTAAAAAGAAAGAAAAAAACCCAAATATTATTAGTAAGCAGGTGATAAAGGTACTGGTTTAAAATTTAATTGTAACACCCATATCAGAGTCAGCTACAGCTGTGTATATGCAGAGAAACTCCATTTGCCCATAGAATTCTGCACAGACCTCCCAAGATCAGGATCCATGTTCGCTCTCCTGTTACTTTGAAAAGGAACATGGGTGTTTGTATAGTGTCACTGAATTCCTTGTACCCTTCCTTGACCATTGTTTATCTGATGTTTAACCTCTGTTGCTATAGATGCAGAAAATAACTAAATCAATTTTATTGATTTCTGTTCTCTTCAACAATCAATGTTTCAGATACCACAAGCCACACAGAATCTGGCCTGATCAATATAGGAGGTTAGATCTTTGTAGCTAAATTAAAGGATGATTTACAAAAGTTAAAATATGGGTTCGTTTTCCAGAGTAATTGGCAAAATGCATCTTCACAATTCTCCTACTAGTGACTTCCACAAAGAACCACAATACTTCATTAGCAATGACTCAATATTATCAGACTCAGTAGCCTTAGTAATCAAGCAGCATCCAACTGCTAGGAAATGCATAAGGACAGAACAAAACCTGCTTATTGCCCCAGGGATTTACAATATACACATATATTCCATACACATCCACAGACCCATGTGTTTATACAAAAAGGTGACAGGATCAAGATAATAAGGATTAAAATTGTTTGAATGCTGTGCTGTGATCAGGCTGGATGTTTGTTATTTTTCCTTGGTTTTACTTGCCTTCTCTGTGTATGGGGGACAGGAAGGGTTTGGAATATACACACTATCTCTAGTGCAGCAGGAAACACTGAAAACTTTCTTTTTTTTATTAATCATTTAGTGTGTTTTTCTGGAAATTTCAAGCCAGTATGAATAAATACATCACAGTTTCATTACCAACAAATATTTACCTTGAAAGTATTTGAAAATACACAAAGCACTACAAACCACGTTACACAAGAGATACATTTCCTTCAAAATGACTTCTAGTGATGCAATTACTGGCACAGCTAACTTTTTTATAACTCATTAGGCACCTTTTTGTCATCAAGACTATCTATTGGATAACTGCATAGCTATGTAGTTTAATTTCTTCTTTGGAGGAAAAAAGAATCACTTTACCATTCCATATCTTCAAAATAAGAAGCCTTTAAGGCTCAAAGGAGGAAAAGATTGGCCCAGAAGTGGTTTAGCTCAAGACCTTCAAGCTCTTTTCCAACTCAAAAAAAAAAAAAATTAAAAAAATCCCTAACATTGCAGTAAGAGTACAATATCATCTTCTAAAATTAGGAACACAATAAAAGCCTCATTGAATCACAACAACAGTCCAACTCGGCTCATTTGGGTTTATTTTAGTATGGTAATATACTTCTAAGCAGAGATGCTGTAATGTACGCTTATGCAACAATCTGCCCACAGGGGAAACAGTTCCTCCAGCACAGAGAATCATATACTAAAATTATTTTAAGCATTAGCTTTGATATTGATGTGTCTATTGTTCATCTCACACCTTAAAATCTGCCGTAATCTTGGCTTTGATACTATTTAGCAACAGGACTCCAGAGATACCTGTGCACTGCATTTTAGAGAAACCCTTTTTTTTCATTTTTTTAATGTTAAACACAGGGTCTTTCATATTTGCTCAGTCTTTGAGTTAGATAAGCCAATGACTCAATGGGCAAAGAAATTAATTTATAATGACCAAAAGGTTATTTTTTATCTATTTATTACATATTAGAGACAATCATAATAATACCTAAGACTTACTGGTTGCTTTCCTAAGACATGCTTCAAAATAGTATCAACAATCATTACCCTAATTTATAAACAGAGTATCTAAGGCACATGGCTGGTGAAGGTATTCGTGTTATCCTGGGCAGGAAACCAAGGCAGATTTGGGACATCTAGATTATGTCCCCAAGTCTCAATGCAGAGTGCTACTTACTGGATGCTGCTTATTTCATGTACGTCACTCAATCTACTGCACCAAAACTGACTGCAAACTTGGACTGGATTTATATGCCAAGAAGGAAAGACAGGCAGACAAGACTGGACTTTTCAGATGAAACATTACAGTATATTGGCAAAGATGGTGTTATGGTTTCTGGCTTTGAGCATGCTGAAACACATTTTAGATGCAAGGATTCAATCAGCACTTCTTAATCTAAAGGCACTTTACGAAAAAAAAAAGATGTACACACACTGCTGATGTCATTGCAACACAGAGCTCAAGCCTTGTCTGGGCCACTGTCAAAAAACTTCGATGGTGTTGATAAACAGAACACCTCCAGCTCACTCCTCTGGAATCTCATCAACCTCTCTCCTAGGGAGAGTCTGATGTTTCGCAGCTCTAGACTATAGACGTTTATCTGGGATTTGTGGTAGAATATAAAAAGCAACAGCTATGTTTCCACTACTAAAGCATAGTATTTTTGGAAGGGTATCATTGAGAATGAGTCTACCACACCCTGTCACAGACCTTCAGAAAGATCAGTAGACTTCCCAGAAAAAAAAAAAAAGAGATGAAAGAGCCTTTGTCACAAATGCAGAAGGAAATTCCTTCAGAAGCTCAAACTGTCAATGCCAATAGCACAAACACAGCCATAAAGTTTCTAAGGTAGGAACTCCTTGATCATAACAACCTTATAAGGGAGGTCAAGGTTAGCTTCAGGTAACTAAGAAATGAAGTTGTTCAAAAGCAGCATCAAACTGTCTACATCCTGGTTTCCTCCAGCAGCTGGCTGGAAAACATGACTGAAACAAAAAACTAAAATAAATTAAATACATGGAAAGATTTGTGTCACTCCTTTTCCCCATCCTAATGAGGCAGAACAATGCTGGGTCAGCATCATTTTCACATGTAGGACTGAAAAAGGAGGACAGATCAAGACACAGTTCACATCACCTACTTCCACATCGCTCAGTCTCTCTCTTCAAAAGCAACAGTTTTGAGACAAAGGGGAAAAAAGGAGATTGGGATAAACCAGGCTTATTTCACAATGACAGTTACTTCTCATTTGTTTTGATATGCAATTTGTGAGCATAAGGACAAACAATACACAGCCTCAATGGCTGGCTTGCTTTATGAGCTGCAATGAGGCACAAAATGAAGATAAGCTACCAAATCTGACCTGTGAGGTTCCTACTAAAGGCCAATGGCTTCCTAAGTTTAAGGTCCAGCTACAGAGTCAACTCCTGGATAAGGAGACAAACCTTTGCACACCTAAGAACAGTCTGTTCAGAATTTTCCACTACTTAGTTGTTGTTTATCACCTCTATTTCATCAGTTTACTACTGAAAGGTTGTTTGCATGTATCCCCCAAAAGACAGTCTACTAAAATCTCACCTAGCTCCACCAATTCTTTACCTAGCTTGCAGAAGATTTCACATGTAAAGTGTGAGCATTTTAGTAGCAACATGCTTTTTTTCTATCATGAATCAGTGAACAAAGCCAAATTTCTGTGGCAAAATTGAGCATTCAAAAAAGAACCTATGTATCACAGACAGACAAGGGGCTGTTTAGGAAGGCAGCACACACTTCATAACCTCTCACACAGAAGCAGCTGCTTCCAGTACAGCCTAGTATCAAAGTGTTGTAGCTCTCTGGTGTCCACTGTCAAAGGGCTGGCTGGTGAAACCCTTGGTAGTCAGACACGAGATAACAGCACCACGCTCAAAATTCTCATTGGCAGCAAAAAAACTGAGCTTGGATTGCAAAGAAGTGCTCTGTGAGTGTTCTTCCCTCTCAGTTCTGAAGGGCCACAAGCAGAGACATGCACCCAGGCCTTGTTGTGACCTGCAAACACGACACGAGGCTCCCAAAGCACACAGACCTTCTGTGAGAGGCTTGCCACGCAGATACAGCTTCACGGTATCCACCAGTACTGCATTGGAAAAGGAGCCCCCCAAACCCCCACAGCCCCATCCTCTGTACTTGTACTTTTTGCTAAGAGTCTACTCTACTTTTTGGATACGGCAAATAAACCCACAAAGTTAAACCTGAAATAAAAAAAAGCCAGTAATGGCATGCTTTAGCAAGAAAAGGAAGGCATGCCACAACCTGATCCTGATTTTCTGCCCTTGAACTCTTGAATTAATTATAACAAATTACAGGGAGCCCCACTACAATTTATAAGCACAACAAACTCCCTTACAACCACCTATAATTTTATCAGAGTTAATCCAAATACCTAAAGTATTAAACAGAGCAAAACTCCAACATGCCTTTTAGAGTAAAAAAATTGGGGAAGCCACATTCTCTGGTCTTCTGAGCCCTTCCTCTCAGCAAAGGCTACATTTGGTTTCTGCAAGCTGGAGTCCAGCAAAGCCAGCCCCTGCTGACACCACCACAGCATCCACCCCATAAAGAATGGGGTGGAATGGCCCAAGTAAAGCAAAAAAAATCAGAATCATATAATGTGAAGAAATCTGTATTTCAGTGGTTTCAGCTGAAAAACAACATTCAATGCAGGTGTAAGTATTACATGGAAACACTAGAAAAAAAACATTTGGGAGTGAAGAGTTTGTTAACCACAGGTCTTTGAAAAAAGCCATGTTTCCATCTGGTTTGGGTTTTAAGCACATGCTAAAAGTGTTTTTGTTCAACATGGCAATCCTATTGACTTTATACTCCTCACAGAGTTAAGCTTAAATACACACTCAACTCCACACTCAAGTCTCCTGAACCGAGCATAACTCCTGCATTTAGCTACAGAGACCCAGAGGTGAAAACACCATTTTTTTCTTATAAACTTTACTTCCTTTTTTGATAATTAAAACAAAAAAAAGTAGAATTGAGTCAGGTAGGTGAACTGAAGCAACACCAGATACTGCTTTTCATGCACAGAGCTGTTACGTTGTAGGGGAAGGTCAGTATCTTCATTCCCCCACCTTGTTGCCAGAAAAAAAAAAAGGAAACCATTAATAATAATAATTAAAATATCACAGTTTGAAAACAGGAGCCTGAGGAACGATGCAGCTTTCCAATAATGGTGGTAACACTGGAATTGCCTCTTCATCAGTAGGGACCACAGTTCCAATGGATATCAAAACCTATGAGAAAAATCCCTCTTGCTAAACTTCATTTTTTTCTGTGCTGTCTGCAAGAAAAAAAATAACACCAGTACTCAACA